GCTAAACGTACATATGAAATTGAATATAAGATATCACTTAGTGGATGTTATTTATGTTCGCATTCTAAGAAATTGTTCGAGGTGCTTTCTTTGTCTATTTGTACCCCAGAAATCCGTGTTCATGTTCCACATTTGATCAATCCAAACAACATTTTTTGTTGTTTGATATATTTTTCTTCTTCTCTTGAATTTGCCCACTATTTATTATGTTTCGAGGCCAAAAAACACTACATATCGGCTTCATTTTGTTGTTGCTTGAAGCAAAATTGTTTTTAGAATAAATACGTATGTGTTATTCGTATTTTTAGCTTGCCAATTTTTGACTATATGATACTTAACTTAGGTTAGGGGTTTTGAGAAGCTACCAAAAAATATGTTCGGTAATTTTTTTTTCTTTCACATTTTCTCTATTTTCTCTGCTATTTCCATCTTATTTTGGATCTGATTTTCTCTCTATGTTGTTTGATGTCGTTGCAGTCAGTTGGGAATCCGTCTAACTATGCCGCTGGATAATTTAATGATACGTCTGTTTTATATTTTATTAAAATTCACTTACTTTGTCGCTATTGAAGGGGATTAATTTGATTAAGTAATTACATTCTACGAAGATAGTTGGTGCCTTGATGCCTCCTTGTGATGCCGCTGGTACTTATTTCTTATTTGCTAAGTTCGTACACATGCAAACATTGATATAATTACATGTATATGTGAGTTTATGTTGTGACAGTAGTTAGTGGAGTTATTTCCCAAATAACTATTGCCCGGATTGCGCTTCTCTCAATATATGTTTTCTCTCTCTCCAAATTTTCTTATAATCTAATTTTCTATTAAATTGAATTTTTTTTTTCTATACTTGAAATTCGTTTTAAAATTTGATTACAACATTTGATCTGCCAGAAGTTTGTGGTTCCCCGTTCCTCTCGGTAATTAAGAATATTTGAGTGGTAATTTCTCCCTCATTTTTGTATGATGTCTTATTTTTTTAATTTTTTTTTTAATTTATCATATGCATGCACATATTTTTTTCCTCATTTCTAATGTTTATAATTTATCGTATGCATGCACATAATTTAATATAACTATTAATCAAAAATATATATGTCGTGCATTCCACAAGAGGAATTACTATTAAAACACGATAGTTACATAAAACTTTTAGATGTCTTTTGAAGTTTTTATTAATTGACTTCACTTTTGCATTAAAAAAATTCAATCCCGTGATAACTCCAAATTACTAGTTTATACTAATAAAACTGAAAACCCTAAATTAAACTAGGAAAATAATAAAATCACTAAAAATGGCAAAGACGAGAGAACTCCTAATTCTAATATATTTTAAATTCTAGAAACAAGTCAATTTACGGATTCGCAATCCAATTTTTCTACGATTTTATATCAATTATTTAAATATTTCATAAAATAGCAAAAACGAGCTTTTAGGAGTCTAAAAGACCTTTGATTGCTAAAATTTGACGTGATCCATGAATTTGGCTCATTCCCTAAAAAAAAAATGAATTTGGCTCATAAGTTTTGTTCCTTGGGCCGTTTCTCTTGAGATAGAGTTCATTCCCCACTCACATACAATTTGAGTCTGTAGTTTGCCATAATTTCTTTCAGTATGTCCACCGATGCCTACTAATAACCCATCTTTGAATTAAATAGTTATTTTGCAGTTCTAGTCGAACTTGACATTCCGTATCAATCATCCATTCTTCAAAAGAGCTTGAGCTCGAGCTATAATCAAAATATAACGATGCATGTTTCTTTACAAAAAAATTCAAGTGCTCCACCAATCTTCTCGGCACAAAAATCTAGCTTACAAAATCTTCCTCCAAACTAAGCATTAGAAAAATTATTTTATCCGTCGATAACTCCGCTGGCTCCACCGATTTCTCCAATACGAAAATATTACAACTACCGCTATCGATAGTTAGGTCACATACTTTCACACAATGAACTTGCTCATTATTTCTCAAGAAGCTACAAGACAGATGTGTTAGTAAACAATCTTTGTGAATCCTACAATAGCTACATCTTTGAGGCCAAAGAGAAGCCTATCATCAGCATGTTTGAGTGGATCAGAAGTAGATTGACAAGCAGCATTCAAACAAAAAAGGCTCGAATGGAGAAGTATGAAGGGTCTATATGTCCTAATATCTTGAAGAAGATCAATAAGGCTCAACAACTTGCAAGAAATTGTTTCCCAAAGATGGCATGGACAAGAAGAATTTGAAGTGGATCTAGCTACCAGAACATGCACATGTGTACTGTTCCAATTAAATGGGTATCATTGTCATCATGCATGGGTTTGTATTGCAGATATGAGGTATATAGTTGAGGACTATGTGGACTCATGGTATAAAAAAGAGACATACTTGAAGGTTTATGCATATATGATACATGCAGTCTCTGGACCAAAAGACTATATATATAAAGACCTCTTTTGAGCTACTTGCAGCCCCAAAATTGAACAAGAAGGTTTGAAGACCCGAGAAATGAGAAAAAGACATCCAGATGAACTTCAGAGTACTTCTTACAGAAAGGGTCTCACACATACTTGTAAGAACTCCCTACAACTAGGCCATAATAAGGCATCGTGTAAGATCTTACAAAACTAAACTTTACAAGGTACTTTTAGCTTTGATAAGTTTTTTCCTTTAGATTACTTGAATTTTATTTAAGGATTTCAATGATTATTATAAGTTATTTGTTGGTTTGTTTGTCTGTGATAGGGAAACCCTGCAACTGAAGAAGTTCAAAATTCTCAAGGTGCTCCTCCTCCATCTTCCAGTCAAGGACCATCAACCTCTGTTGCACCAAGTTATGTTCAACCGAGCTCTTTTACACCAAGGTTTGATGTTTGCAGCTCTGTTGCACATTCTTTTACTCAACCTATCTATGTTGCACCTTCATCCATTCAAGAACCATCGAGCTTTGTTGCATCTTCTGCTCTACCAGATAGGGTTAGAAACAGTAAAAAACTGTTATATTTTTAGCTCTTCTTTTGGCATGCTCATGCTGCCCCATTTATTTTGCTAAATTATATGTGTTACACTTGTAGGCAATTCGGGAAGAATAAATAAGGGTTTATTAGGAAGAAATAAGAAAAACAAAAAGACAAAATGTACCGCTTGTTGTACCAACTGTTTGTACAATTTCACAAGCAATTGTTCCTCCAATGGCAAAAACTAATGTTCCTCCAAATGTTCCAAATTCAAGTAACCCTCTAGTGCCCAAAAGGAAGCCTCAAATATCCGAAGTCCTGCATAATATTAAGGAGGTTTCCAAGAAGAAACACATTTGGAAAGTTTGACTTGTAAATGTTTGAAAGTTGAACATGTATTTTGATGGCTTTTGATAGTTTTTTTTTTTTTTGGTTTTTGATGCAATTGTGACAGCCTTTGATGGTTTTTTGATGCAACATTGGTTTTCTGTTAAACATTATTTTTGTTGGAGATATTTTGATGCATTTGGAGATATTTTAATGTTCTTTTTTTGTTGTTGGCTGTCTTTTGAAATAAAATTGTTGTTTATTTGAGATATCTTGATTTTTTTATGGATTGATTCTTTGCTGTTGAATTTTAGGTTGTTATTGTTCAGTTTTAGTTGTTGCTTGTTTGGTTATTATTGATATATTGGTTGTTGCTGGCAAATACAGTGAAATAAAAAATACAATGGAGATGATTGCAAATTTTCATTAACCTAAGGGGTTTTTTGCTAATAAATTTGAGGGTGCATTTGGATGGAGGGATTTGGGGGAGGGATTTCAAATCTATAATAACAAATCCCTCGGACTTGTTTGGATGGATTTGGAGATGGATTTCAAATCCCTACCCCTCCTTTTTAGTTGATTTTGGAGCATTAGTGATGGATTTCAAATTACTCCAAAATTGGAGTCATTTCAAATCCATTCTCCAAATCAAATCCCTCCCCAAATCCCTCCATCCAAATGGACCCTGAAATCATAGGAGGTGGTTGCTGGTATATGTGTACATATGAGGGTATTTGCTAATTTGGTAATCAAATACTGTGAACTTCGGAAAGGGGAAAAACAGAATTTTGCCATTGCAAACTTGAATAAATAATGAACAAATAACATAGCAAATTATCAATAGTACTTGAATAATATATAACATTATCAACATGACATTGATAAACAACAATACTACATTACATCTTGCATTAAATAAAATATATTAAATTTATTAAAGGTTTCAAATCTTTATAAACATCATTGGAACAATGGCGAACAATTCTACGCATATAACCCATGTATATTTTTCAACATGATTCGATCACGCTAATGGTTTTGTTTTTTCTCTGCGACAGTAGCTTTAGAAATAACTTCATCTAGCTCTTATATATCATCTGGCAAAGCTTGCTCAATATTTTCCCAACTTGGATATTGTAAAGTCACCCCAATGGGTTCTTAAGTTGCTCGATACGAGTCACACCAACGGAAAACTTTGCATTGACGAAACTGACAAGAATAATACAATCTTCCTTTTGATGTTTTGTTGCAGCTTCGACCACTCTTATACAAGATTTCAAACTACATAAACAAAATGGGCCAAATGTATTACCTTAGATCCATATATGGGTTGCATTCTTTTTTCTTCGTCATTATTTCTCTAATTTGCTTGAGGTGTGAGAAGACATTATTTCTCTAATTTGCTGAGAATTGGAAAAAATGAATTGAGAATAAATTGGGAGAAGAAGACGATGGCAAAAACCCATTATATTGGAAGATAAGATATAAAACGACGTCGTTCGGTTCTTTAATGAATTTAAGGGTACTAGTGACTTTTAAACTCGTAAAATATACAACCATTCGCATAATTTACGCATGCTTACACTAAAAGATGTCAAGGGATTTGGTGACATTGATTAAATTTCATAGTGGGGTATTTGCTAAGAAATTTAGCACGTGTGGTTTTCCGACAATTAGAGATAACACAAGGGTGTTTCTTGCAAAAAAAACACCCATATAAATACGAACTAGAAGGCCTAAAATTCGAAAAGTTTATTTCATTTCGGAATTACTGACGATTGATGAAGCTCTTCTTGAAACGCCATTACACACAACTCTCTCAGCCGCACTACACACAACACTCTCTCAACTCCAAACAATCTGAACTCATCCAGCTCTGCAGAGCAGGCTCCGTCTCCGACGCAGTTACTCTTCTCTGTTCCATAAACGCCATAACCACCGACGAAGAACAAAATGTGGTTTCAAAACCAGTCATATATGCAACCGTGGTGCACGCCTGCACCAGATCACTTCACTTCACCGCCGGCCTCCAGCTCCACTCCCACCTCGTTAAGTCCGGCCTCGAAACCGATCGTTTCGTGGGCAACAGCCTCTTATCCTTCTACTTCAAACTGGGTTCCGATTTTAACGACACTCGGAGATTCTTCGACGGGTTGCCTTATAAGGATGTCGTTTCTTGGAGCTCCATGATTTCCGGGTACATTCGCGCCGGAAAACCCCGTAATGCGATCGGATTGTATCTCGAGATGTTGAGCATTGGGATTGAACCCAATGCTTTTACTTTGTCTGCCGTGATCAAAGCGTGCTCGGATATTAGAGAGTTGCAGTTCGGGAAATGCTTACATGGGGTTGTGGTTAGGTGTGGATTTGAGTGTAATGAGGTGATTGCGGCTGCTCTGATTGATATGTATGGGAGGAGTTGCAGGTCGGGTGATTGTCGCAAGGTGTTCGATGAAATGCCTGAACCAGATGCTGTCTGCTGCACCTCGGTGATTTCTGCGTTCACGAGGTGCGATTTGTATCGTGAGGCTCTGGGGGTGTTCTATTTGATGTTTAGGAAATACGGGTTTATGCCGGATTGGTTTACTTTCGGGAGTGCCTTGACGGCTTTAGGAAATTTGGAAAGATTGCGGCAAGGAAAAGAAGTTCATGCACAGGTAATTACCGGTGGGTTTCACGGGAACGTGTTTGTCGATAGTAGTTTGGTCGATATGTATGCCAAGTGTGGGGTAGTTGAAGAGTCGCAACGTGTTTTCGACAGAATGGAGAAAAAGAATACGGTTTCATGGTCCTCTTTGCTTGGGGGTTACTGCCGAAAGGGTGAGTTCGAAGTGGTGATCGAGATCTTCAGAGTTATGGAAAAGGACCTTTACAGCTTCGGGACTGTTTTACGTGCATGTGCTGGTTTGGCAAACGATAAACTCGGAAAAGAGATACACTGCCAGTACTTGAAGAGAGGTAGCTGGAGAGATATCGTGGTTGAATCGGCTTTGGTTGATTTATACGCCAAATGCGGCTGCATTGATTTCGCTCACAGGATTTTCTTGAAGATGTCTGTTAAAAATTTGATTACTTGGAACTCAATGATCGGTGGATTTGCCCAGAACGGGAGAGGCGAAGAAGCTGTCAGGATTTTCGATCAGATGATTCGAGAAAGAATTAAACCAGATTACATAAGTTTCATCGAAGTTCTGTTTGCTTGCAGCCATAGTGGTTTGGTCGACCAAGGGAAGAAATACTTTGTCGCAATGTGTGAGGATTACGGATTAAAAGCCGGAATCGAGCACTATAGTTGTATGGTCGATCTTTTAGGCAGGGCAGGCAAAATCGAAGAAGCAGAGGATTTGATTATTAATGCCGAAGAATTCAAAAGTAATCCATCCCTTTGGGCAGCTCTTCTCGGTGCTTGTGCTACCACGACCAATCCTACAGTTGCGGAACGGATAGCTAAGAAAACGATAGAATTGAAACCCGATTATCACTTAAGTTATGTACTTTTAGCTAATGTGTATAGATCGGTCGGGCGGTGGAAAGATTCTCAGACGGTGTGGAAGCAAATGCAGACGAGAGGTGTTAAAAAAATACCCGGAAAGAGCTGGATTGATAAAACCAGCTTCAATCCATTGGTTTGTTCGAGTTTTCCAGAGTACGTATGAATGGTGAGAAAATAATTTACCGAGCTGGTATTACGCCTTGTTGTCTTGTCGGTGTTCGGATTCCATGGATATTTTTACTAGACTTAAGCATTCGTGTGTTTGCCGGATGAACATAATCCATCGGATATTACGCTAATCCATCAAATACATTTTCTTAACGGACTATTGTTAATAATATCGATCCAAAAGTTCTGGTTCATACGACACGCTTTTCTTCAACCTTGTCCGGTTGCTAAGATAATAATGCAATCATATGAAAACCCAATTTTGTAATTAGACATTAAGACTAGAGGTCAAGGTCAAGGTCAAGGTCAAGGTCAGTCGACAGTCCTCAATAAACCAATATAAGAGCTCATTTTCTTGACAATTATTGGACGGCCCGACAAAGTATTCAGCTCAAACAAAGTCCAATTATGTAATTAACTATATATGGTTAATCTTACGAAACAAACGAGGCCTTAGAGAACAGTAAGTAGTTTAGCTATATAATCTCGACTCATCATAAACTGCGATTCAGTTAAGTCCGGATAACATATAATTATACATACTTGAAGCAACAAAACATTTAACCACTTTTACCAGTACAACAAATACACGAATCTCCAGGATTGCTAGAAGAAGAGGAGAGACTTATTACGGGACTGCAGAAAATATGGATCCGCAATTATACAGAGCAACAACCGAAGCCGACATTCTTGAATTTGTGAGAGCAATGGAAGAGGGAAACACTCGATCGACATCACAGCCCGCCGCCAGCCTTCTTGTGTGCAATTAGGCCCTCAAAAGAACACCTGCTTTGCACATAGCAACAAACTTCACTCGTTACGAAATTGTTCAACTCGTCTTCAAACCTTTTACACCTTTACGAAATTGTTCAACTCATCTTTATTCATTGAGAAAGAGAGGCTTCGTCGGGATCTTCGGATTCAGAATCTGTAAACTGCCGTACATCAGAAGCCAATCTCATATCTTGACTGACCAATTGAGCAAGATCGTGCCTATTTGCATTCTTATAAGCATCTATAACCGCCTCGTACAATGATTCATTAGGCTCAATATCACCATACTTGAGTTGGCTGTGTATTCGCTTCACCCCTTCAACCATACCGGCTTTTCCATAACAATTCACGAGATTTATCAAAGTAACAACATCGGGATCGAGCCCTTCATCCTGCATTCTCATATACATCTTCAAAGCCTCATCGATCTTGCCGTAAGCTGTGTAAGCACGAATTGCAGCATTATACGCAAACGAATTGAACCCCACGTCTTCTTTCGTAAAATTCCCACAAGACTCGAGCGCATACGCATGCAACCCCACTACAGAGAAAACAGAGGTTATTACAGCTTGTTTGGCAAAGGGTCTCCCTTCATTGTACGATGTTTCGAGCTCTCTTACAGCTTCACTCGGAATCCCTCCTTTCTTTAATACGGTGTATAGTACTTTGAATGTCCCTCGATCGGGAATAAGCTTCTGTTTCACAACCATCTCGTAAAGCAATTCGCCGCATTCAACTAGCTCGCCTTTCGTGGCATAACACGCCATCACTTTAGTGTACGTTACACAATCTCTCACTAAACCCGACCGTTTCATCTCTTGTGCAACTTCAATTGCCTCGTCGAGCATGCCCATGTTCTTGTAAACATACATCATGGTTGCGAATGTAACCCCATCAGCCCCGTTTTTCTCTCGTAAAGAATCATATATCAATTTAGCTTCAGACAGCATTCCTAATTCACCGTACAGATTAAGCATACTATTGGACGCCACAATGTCGGGACCCCCATCCAACTTGTTCATCTTCTCGTACATCTGCTTTGCTCCTTCAACCGAACCGATTTTACCGTAAGCCTTGATCATGGAAGTCAAGATTATGTGGTTCGCCGGAATCCCGGATTCTTCCATGACATGTAAATAGCGATTTGCTTCTTCGAAATTCCCATCCTCTGCAAAAGCATCGATCAACGACCCGTAAACAACTTCATTCGGTTTCACATCCGCCCGTAACATTTCTTGAAACACATCAACTGCATCGGAGAGCCTCTTGTTCTTAGCAAAAGTAGCAATCACAGCTGAGAAAGTCGAACATGTAGCTTTAAGCCCAGCTTCTTGCATTTCAGCCAAAAGGTCTATCGCATTATCGACTAAATCAGCTCCGGCTAACATTTGGATAAGGGAGTTATACGTGCAATCGTCTGGCCATGTACCTTGATTTCTCATGCCCCTAAACAGCGACATAGCTTTATCGTATTGTTCTCCCTTACCGTAAGCTTTGATCATCACATTATACTCCAAAACATCTTTCTTCTGTACCGAGCCAGAGCCCTCCCTATTACTGTAGAACAAAGACTCCGCTTCAGCCCAAAGCCCGTTCTCTGCATACACATCGATTATAGCAGCATAGGTCTTCGACGAGAATCCACCGTACGATTGGGACTTTTCAACCAAGAACTTCGCCTTTTCAGACAAACCTGCAGTAACATACATTTTAGCGAGCAGAGGAAGAGAGCTTTCGTGGATGCGCTTGTCCAATTTCTCCATTTCTTGAATCACAGATTCCACCTCATCAATCATATTTCTTTCACTCAGTGTTTTAAGGACAGCTCTATGCGTTACGTTGTCCGGAAAAAGACCTAATGCCCTAATATTCCTGTAGCACTGAACAACCGCATCTATGTCACCAGCACGAGCATGCAACGAAAGAAAAATGTTGTAAGTCTTTGTGTCGGGAGAAATCCCTCTTTCCTCCATTTTATCGAGCAAAGCCTTGGCCTCGGATAAACAACCCTGACTACCGCAAATGAAAATCATGGTGTTGAATGTGAAAGTATCGAGCGCAACACCAGCCTTCAACATATCGGAAAAAACACGAGCAGCATCATTCAAACGACCAGCCTTTCCATACAAGTCGATAAGAGTATTATACGTGGCAGTAAGACGGGGTTTTCTACTCTCGACATCAGCACCCAAGTCGGCCGAAGAATTCGACCTCCCACCAGTTCGGAAAAGCTCAGTCAACAGAAACTGTTTCAAACTAATACCTTCCTGATCAACACTGCTATCGAAATCAAGATCATCCAATTCAATTTTCCCAACGGACCAGTTCTTGAAGAATCTATCGGCCCTATTGTATTCCGCCGCATCCTTCAACACCTTAACGACGGTAGACATTGTGACTTCATCGGGGAAAATCCCTCTCAACTGCATATGTTTAATCCATAAGAGTGCCTCCTTCACCAGCCCCGATTTCCCGTACACGTCGACAAGCATTCCGTAGGTGTTGTTCGTCGGCACGACACCCTCTTTCGCCATTTCGATCCAACAAAGCCGCAATTCATCCCATTTCTTCGATCTACCCAACGCACGAAGCACGACGTTGTAGTGTATGACATTGGGAACATAATCTTCCTGTGATTTAAACCACTTAAAAATTCTCAAAGCTTTATCCCAATTACTTTGTTCTTTGAGAATTACAGTCTGCTCTTTGGGATTGAGCTTCCCATGATACATGTCAAGGGTGTTTTCGACATTGTTATCGAGCTCCAGAGACCGCAAAACAGAAGGCAAAATGCCTCCATATCTCTTCTTTTTCCCCTTGTTCGTGTTCTTATTGGGTAGAGATACACTTTTGGAATGACAGTGGAGTTTAAACCCCAGAAAAACCCTAATTTTAGTGTGTGTGTTGTTTGTGTTGTTGAAATGAATGTGTGGTTTAAACCCCAAAAAATGAATAGAATTCGACGGAAAATCAAGGGTTTGATGAAGCTTACATGGTGGCGAAGAACAAGAAGAAGAAACTGAAAAGAAAGCTGAAGTTGAGAGTGTCAGGTCCATTGTCCGGCGGCGGTGTTGGTGGTGGACGGTATTTTTTGGGCGGCGGAAAGGGTGTTTAGTTTAAATGGTGGTGACGACCTGTTGAAGAAGTGAGAAATTCATACAAAACTTCAAATAATGCCAAGATAAACAATCTGATTTTAGTGTTTGTTCAATTTTCAGATTAGACCACAAATTTTGAGATATCTATTAAAATATGCACATGAATTTAGAAGTTAGGGGTGTGCACTGTGCACGGCTCGGTTCGGTTTGGTTCGGTTTTTGGCTCAAACCAAACATGAATCAAATATATCGGTTTTTTGTAAATTAAAAATCATCTACGTCGGTTTTTTATCGGTTCGGTTTCTTTCGGTTTCAGTTATTTTTCGATCCAGAGTAACTATATACTCAAGTTATACATATAAAAGAATTCAATTACAATTACTTTCACAACTAACTAATCTATATCTATATTATATATAAAACTAAGATACACAATCAAAGTTTTCCAATTGAGGAGATTGAGTCCACATTGTTTAAATAATTTCAAAAAAACCCCACTTACCATAATCATCTACATTATTAATTAATTGATTCACATTATTAGTTTACACAATTTTATCTCTCCTACATGTCAAAATAGTGTTTTTATTGGTTAATGAGTTTCCTTTTTTTAATCAATTGTTTGATAGTAAATACGTAAATACATAAATGCACATAATTTTTTTTCTTTTTTATGCACAATATTTATATTAATTGCAAAACAACCCCACTTACAAGAATCACCCATATTATTAATGAAATAATTTGGTTTTCAAACTTTATCTCTCCTACGTGTCAAAATAGTGTCTTTTTATTGGTTAATGAGTTTCATTTTTACAAATAATATTTTGATTAAAAAAACGTATGAGCTATATGCAATATTTATAATTTTCCAATTGAGGAAATTTTATGCACAATATTTATATTAATTGCAAAATAACCCCACTTACAATAATCACCCATATTATTAATGAAATAATTTCACATTATTGGTTTTCAAAATTTATCTCTCCTACATTTCAAAATGGTGTCTTTTTATTGGTTAATGAGTTTCCTTTTTATAAACAATATTTTGATTAAAAAAACGTAGGACTTAAATGCATTTTTTAATTTCCCAATTGAGGAAATTTTATGCACACTATTATATTAATTGCAAAAAAAAAAAAAAAAAAAAAACTCCATTTACCATAATAACCTATATTATTATTTAATTGATTTCACGTTATCAGTTTTCAAATTTTATCTCTTCTACACGTCAAAATAGTGTCTTTTTATTGGTTAATGAGTTTCCTGTTTTTAATCAATTGTTTCATAATAAAAACGTAAATTCATAAATACACATAATTCTTTTTTTGGTTAATGACATTTAATGCACAATATTTATATTAATTGCAAGAAAAACCCCACTTACAATAATCACCCATATTATTAATGAAATAATTTCACATTATTGATTTTCAAATTTTATCTCTCTTCCATGTCAAAATAGTGTCTTTTTATTGGTTGAATTTCCTTTATGTGGACATTATTTTGATTAAAAAAAAGTAGGACTTCAATGCAATTTCCATAATTTTCACATATTATTACATTTAAATTAATTTAGATAAATCCGGAAATTTATGTCAATTTAAATCAATTATTTTATTTCTTACCTTTATTACATTCCTTAACTCTCCTATAAATTACCATTCAATACATTCACCTTCTTCAACTTTTCCACATACATTTTTTCTGTTTCCGAGATATGGAGAGAATTCTTGAGAAAGAATTCCATTGGAATCACCTACATGCAATGGTATATTTTATTATAGTCCCTTTTGTAGTATAATTTTAATTTATTGCTTTATTTTGTATTTGATTTCTTCCTTCAATTCTATTTGCAGTCTTTGAGTAATGCTTTTGTTGAAGCTTCTCGGTTGATAGGATTGTCTACTATCAACCTTCGCTTCGAGGACGGCAATCATCTTCAAGTTGTTGTGTGTTCGTGACAAAAACATGGATAGCTGTATGTCATGTTGACTAAAGGTTGGACAGAGTTTTGTTACGCAAATAACATGTTTTGCGACAACACGTACTCTTTTATTTTAACCAATGGGATGATGTACTTGAGGTCTGGCTTGGCCCATCATTTTAAATGTTATGATATATGTCTTGGCACTCCTTAAAGCTTTACTAATAATATGAGTTGCATGATTTTCAAATAATTTTGATTTTCATTATTAGGTTTATCTATCATTTATACATTATACAAATATATGTATTCATATAAATCGAATGCATATACTAGCCACATGGAAAGAGCATGGTATTCCATTAACATAATTGTTCGCATCCACAAGAAAACGAGTACCCATAAGATAAACCGAATAAATGTCTAGAAGGGAAAAACTATTATAATATATTACAAAAGAGCCACAAAATTGGGCCAAAAATGGAAATTTGAAAAATATCTAAATAACTAATCTTTACATAGATGTTATATATCCGATACATAGATATGTATTTCTTTTATAATTTGTGAAACTATATATGCATCTAAGCCCATATAATGTTAATATTTATTGTTAAAAACTATGTATTTACTATCCTTATTGTTTTAATAAAAAAAACCCATAATCTATGCAACAATTAAATGTAAAAGTGTAAAATCCTGTATAAAATTATATTTAATTGTTATTGTAATAATGTACAATAAGCAAATCACATATATACATATTTTCACATGTACAATAATGTACAAAATTATATATTGTTTCCATACAATATATGTAAAATGTATTAACCATGTATAAAATACATATGGATATTTTATATATCGGTATATATTTTCGTAGTGTATATTGGATATTTATTTTATATGTATATTTTCACACAATATATATTTTTTTTCCTTGATATTGATTAATAATGATGAAAATTTTAGAATTATGTATTGGATATATAATTAATTATAATTAAGAATATAAATCTATTAAAAATCGAAATTTGTGCAAATTATTAATAGTAAGTTGCTTAATTGTATTTCATCACATAGAATGTGAATATTTATTAGAAGACAAATTTTCGTAAATTAATTGTTCTTTCCACATGTTTCCAAAATATTCAAATCAATCATAGAGTAAAATCATTGCCAATGTTCAATTAATAATAAATGTACATATATGTATTATTGTTAAACCATTGGTTACCCAAAACAATAATTTGTAATTAACTTTTTACACAACAATTTTATACTAATGCAAAAACAACCCTCACCCACCCATAGTTGCAATTATTGAAAAGAAACCGACAATACTTATTTAAATACTACATATGCCCATGATGATGATTGTTAATTATTTTTTTGCACATCACAATTTATTAAAATTATAAAACAACCCCCGCCAGAATGATATATATATATATATATATATATATATATATATATATATATATATATATATATATATATATATATATATATATATATATATATATATATATATATATATATATATATATATATATATATATATATATATATATATATATATATATATTTTGTGTTTTTATATACACACATAAAAAAATAAACAAATATTTTTATTAATTTATTTATTATATATATATATATATATATATATATATATATATATATATATATATATATATATATATATATATATATATAAATATTAATATTTTTTTATTTATATACATACATATATACATATATATATATATATATATATATATATATATATATATATATATATATATAT